ATGAAGAAACCTTTAAAGCATACTTTAGTTTTGTTTTTTAAAGCAGAGTAAGGTCTTTTCCAATACTTCTTTGAAAAAAAGAACCCCTCCCCTGCCCAGAAATTCACCTGGAGGTGAATTACTACAAGGGCCCCCTACAGGGCCAGCAGCAAGGTCCCCAACAGTTTCAGCAGAGCCTAAGCTCTCCAGAGCAACACCATGACGTGTGCATGACTCCAGCAGGGACAGGTCCATCCCCTGCCTGACCTTCCATCATCTAAACTGATGTAATTAGCAGTGACAATGAGTTTGCCACCCTGTACACTGCTGCACTGCAATCTCTACCACAGGAATTCCAAAGACTGTGATGAGATTCCAGGACTTTTCACAGAGATCGTTTTTTATCTTTCCTTTCTAACTCGGTGAAGTCAACTTAATACACATTCTTGAAAGCCAACAGAGGCAACTGGAACGAACAGCTCACTGAGCGAGATCTAGCTCTCCTTCTCCCCCCAAATCCCTAGATCGGATCGCAAAGGTAGATGGCACATGGGATCAGACTGAAAGAGGAAACCAGCTGGTAGGAGCGTCTGTGGTGCTCCTTTCTAGAAGACACAGTCTGGAAACTGGAAGAAACTGCACCAAGACAACCATTAGAAGGATGAATCAATTTCTCTCACCCCATAACTCACCAAGCATGAACAAGCAGGTATTTGTTCTAGGTGGGAGGAGTGACGGTGGGTACCAGGGGCAGAGGTGTACTGACAGTCTGTCAAATAGTAAGACCAGACACCAGGCCACACTCTGCTCCTCTCCCACATACACTGGAGGCTACCCAGACACTATATTCACAGACAGACTATTAGGGAATCTCAAAAAAGAGATAAACACACAACTAACAATCCCCAAGCACCTAGGAAACATGGGCAGCATGAGAGAGGAACCAAGTGCATCCAACAGAAGAATTAATACCCAAGAAAAATCATTTAATGGAGCATTTCCAGAAGTGTGAAGCTATGCTTCACAGGATAAATGAAATGTATAGCCCAACAAAGAAAATAAAATTAAATTCACATCAGACTTCACCCTGGCAACTTTAGAAGCAAAAGGTGACAGGAAAATATCTTCAAAGTTGGGAAGAAAATGATTCTCAATATGTATTTCTATACCCAGCCAAAGTACAATTCAAATGTGATGACATTTTTAGACAAAGACTTGACAAACTTCTCACAAATCATCTCTAAAGAATTACAAACAAAACAAAAATAATCTAAGTGAAAAACAGAAAGGTGAAGACTCAGTGGTAAACCAAGAAATTAGTAAAATTAAGTCCAAAATTAAATATTTTTTATAAATAAAAGCAAATAAAACATCTTTTACTCAAAGGAAAGTGAAAGCAAACTATAGTTGTTTGTGTGATAGAGGGAATGATACAAATATCAATTAACTCCAGACATTAAGAGTAGACACTAATACAAAGAAATGGACTGCACATCTTGCAAACCACTGAAGGAGGAGCAAAGAAAACTTGAATAACCCAACAAAATATGGAAAAAGGTAATAACAAGGCAAATGAAAAACACAAAATAAGACAGCACAAATGAGTCCAAACATTCCAGTCAAAACAAATATGAATGGATTAAATTCACCTATTAAAAGTCTGGCTCACAGATTACAGACACAAAATCCAGCTACATATTTAAGAAAGATAAATCTAAAACCAAATGACGAATAGGATCTAAGGCAATAAGCAAATTAGTGCATTTTCACACTGCCAAAAGCTACAGCCCACCATGTAAAATAAATTATATAAACTTTTATATAGCTAACACAGCTTGAAAATAACATGTACTAAGCAAAAACTGATTAAAATACAAAATTCACAGATAAAAGTAGGAGACTAGCATAATTCTCTCAGAAAATAACAGATCAGAATAACAACATAATGACACAAAGGAACAAATTACATAATTAACAATCTTAATGATGTATAAAAGTTCTGTACATACCAAAATTTTTAATCATACAGGGAATAATAACCAAAAATTACTATGTATTAAACCACACAGAAAATCTAAAAATATTCCCAAAGCAGAAACCAATCAGGCATATCTATTGACTGCAATGTACTAAAATTAGAAGTTAAAACCAAATGGTTAAAAGGAAAAATAAATGTATCCACTCTGAATTTTTAAAAAAACAAAAAAACTAAACAAGAAACAAAGCAGAGGGCTTCCCTGGTGGCGCAGTGGTTGAGAGTCCGCCTGCCGATGCAGGGGACACAGGTTCGTGCCCGGTCTGGGAAGATCCCACCCACATGCCACGGAGCGGCTGGGCCCGTGAGCCATGGCCGCTGAGCCTGCGCGTCCGGAGTCTGCGCTCCGCAATGGGAGAGGCCACAACAGTGAGAGGCCCGCGTACCGCAAACAAAAAAAAAAAAAAAAAAAAAAAAAAAAAAAGCAGAGAAGATAAAGTTTAGCAATGAACAACAATGACTGCAGAGTGAAACCCCTGGGATGTTACCAGAGATGGAGGGAGAAGGCAACATACAGCCTTAGATGTAAATATTTTGTTAGAAATCAGGACAATAAGGGAAAACAGCTTTCAATTCAAGACGCTAAAAAAAAAGAAAACAAAAAGAAAACTCAAAGGTCCTAGAAAGAATAAAAATGAAAGAAAAAGTAATGATATAGAAACCAAACAGTATAGTTAAATAAAATCAAAATCTGATTCTTTGAAAATAATAATAAAATACACAATTTCTGAACTAAGTTTCAATGTCGAGGACCAGTGTACTCAAAAAAAACCTTATCTATAAAATTGAACCGAAGTTGTTTTATTTAGTAACATCTGATAATTTAACTAAATGACAGATTCTAATATTTATTCCCAACTAATTTTGCTAAATATCTGTGAAAAATCATTGATTTTGGCATAATAAACTAACACTACATTAACAGAGAGATAAGTTTCCATTTGTTTTTTAAAGCAATTCTGTAGTAAATTCAATCACACAATTACACAAAATGTATAGAAATAAATACAAATAAAGAAGATGAACTCCACCCAATTCTACTGTACCAACATAAGTTAACCATTTATCAGACTGGGGATTATCCTTCTAAACGATTTTCTTTTCCTTTTTAAAAACTTGTTTAAAGTTCTATTATGCAATATTTATGATATAAGGCGAGAAAAAAGAATATTACAATGCACACCTGCATATTCACTACTCAACTTAGGAAATAAACATCACCAATACAGAAACCCTCTAGATATGCCTGCCCCTTAGAAGTAACTATTTTGATCTCATTGTGTGCTTCATACTTTACTGCATGTGCATGGACCCCTAAACAATATATCATACTGCTCTGTATGTTTTAAACTTTCATATAAATGTTATAATACTGTATGTATTCTGCACTCATTTTTTCACTTAAACAAGTCTGTGAACTCCAGCCATGCTGACATAGTTTATTAATTTTCACCAAGCTATAGTTTCACCACATGAATAATGAACAATTTATTCTCCTGCTGATGAACAGTCAATGCTGCTAAAAACATTCTTTGAAAATCTCTTGCGTACATAGGAAGCAGAACTGCTGGGTCTCAGGATGTGTACATCTTTAACTTTACCAGGTATTGACAAACTGTCATCTACAAGGGGTACAAGGGGTCCTGATGTTCTATAGTCTTATCTACACTTGGTTTTGTCAGACTTTAGCTTTTCTCAATGTGAAAAGTAAGAAAATATCTTACTGTAGTTTTAATTTGCCTTTCCCTGATTATTAGTGAGGCTGAACATCCTTTTCATGTTGAGACATTTATGTTTCCTCTTCTGCATATTCTGGGCCACATTTTCAGATCAGAGCCTCTCCACCAATCAAAAATCTCTGCCTCAAATATTCTAATGAAAGACTTTAGTGAAGCCTGGTTATCTGTCGTGTGCAGAAACCATTTTTAACCCTTTCTTTTCCAGAACACATAGTCTAACATGAAAAACAATGTCTTCGTATACAGAGTATTCAGTGTAAGATCAGCACTCTTCAATGTGTGTCTTTAATCTTCTATAACCTGCATTTTAAATGATCAGAATGCAAATGGAAGGCTCATATCTATGAAGTCTGATATCATGTGCATGTAATATTAGGGCACATTTTTCCAAGACTAAACCTAAAATTTTAAAAGCTTGACCACACCTTCAGATTAACAAACCCTTAAAAACTGAAAGTAAATTCCTAAATGACCTTCAAAACAGATATGAACCCAAGGGGACAAAGTTGACACAAACTGAAAACCAATAAACCCTTCTACCACAACTAAATAACTCATGAGAAGTGAGTGAGAGCGTGAAAATGTGCTGGAGTGAAGGGAGAGGGTCAGTGGGAATGCCAAATGCTACCACTATTCTGGAATCCACCACACAGCAGACACTCTGTATACCAATTTCCTATTCTGTACAACGAGAGGGACAATAACCACCACACAGTCACTGTGAAAAGTAAACAAGATAACATACGATACCTGTATCTGATCTAATTCTATTTTATGGATGAGGAAATGAAGCAGAGAGAGGTCAAGTACACTGTTCAAGGTCACAATAAATGATTCCAATGCCCCAGTTCTTCACACTGCACTGTCATATTCACAGTACCTGTCTAATATGGGTCTCATGACTGTTAAAAAGTATTCACAGGAAGGAGATGACTAGGAGTATCTCAGAAGATAGGAAAAGTACTCAGACCTTAAAAAAAATTAAAACGGGCAGATGAGAGGTTACCTTAGCAACTTACTTATTCCCCTTTGTGCTGACAAATATACTTTAGACATTAGCCATCTAAAAGGTAAAATAAACTCATTGCCAGCTTTAGAGACACATGGCATGCATGAAACCCAATCTGTTAACTAAGACCCATTTAACAGAAATTCCCCTAGAAATTATTTTGATACCAACAACAGATTTGACCAACTACACTCCAGCCAGGAGAATTCAAGAGGGCAGATACTGGAAGGTTACCTACCTACCGCAGGCGCGTCATACTCATCACCAAGCAGAATTTCTGGTGCAGAATATGCAAGAGATCCACAGCTTGTAGTGAGCTTCTTCCCTGGTTGAAACTTGTTGCTGAAACCAAAGTCTGTCAACTTTACAAGACCCTGTTTTTCAAAGAAGACCACGTTCTCGGGTTTTAAGTCTCTGTGAACCACATGGAGTTTATGGCAATAAGATATGGCGTGAACTATCTGAGCAAAGTACTTCTTGGCCAAGTCTTCATTAAGTCCCTCCTCGTGCTTCATTATGTAATCGAACATGTCTCCTCCATCCCCAAGTTCTAGAATAAGATATAGTTTGGTCTGGGTGTCAATAACTTCGTAAAGGCGTACAATGTTGGGATGCTGCACTAGTTTCATGCATCTCACTTCTTGGAAAAGATGACCAGTGGCTAGACTGTCCAATTTTGTCTTGTCAATAACTTTTACTGCCACTTTTTCACCTGTAAAGACATGCCTGGCAAGTTTAACCACTGCAAAATGACCTCGACCCAAGGTTTTATCCAGATCATACAATCCAGCAATCTTCCCATCATACCCTCGCTTGAATCCTGCCATGCTGGTCCAACGGAAGAAAAAATACTTAGACTGTTTAAAATGGATCTTCTCATATATCTGGTGAAAATAAGGAATTCATTTTCAATGTCGCCATGGACATCTACAAAAATAAGAGAAATAAAATTAAGTTTTCGGTGACTTTTCCTTTTATAGCTTCATTTTTCTTTAAATTTTAAGAGAAGCTTGAAATAAATACACTGAGACATAAAATGAGTCAGGGGCATTTATAACAACCTATTTACATATTTAGGGTTTACTTTATAAAGGTTGATAATTTAAATACCATTTCATTTTGCAAACTGATAAAAAGTTAGTTTGTTGAAACAATTTTTTGGTGATGTCAGAAATAAGAAAACTGGCAAGTTTGATAAGCTATGTTTTAAAAGAATATTTTCCAAAAGTAATTTCTATTACTGTCTTAAAAAAGAAGTCAGGGATTGACAAGAAAGGGAAAACACAAAGAACATACACTTGGACAGAAACCAACAACTTTTTCCTATTATTCCAAATTAGCACTATTTCCTTTAAAATCTCTTCAGTAAAGGCTTCTCTAACTCTCCCAGGTGGTATTACCTTCCCTTCTCTTCTCTGCATCTCCAAAGCACCATGGGACACCTCCATCCCAGGCGGTCTTATTCTATAGGTTTTTGTATATACCACCTTTATCCTGAGACTGCAAGGTTCCTGAGGGGTCTATGGTTCTATAATATTTTTTACTTCTACCCTCCCCTAATGCCTAGAACAGTGTTTTACATACAGCAGGTAATTAAAATTGTGTTAAATTTTGAAATGCAACATTTTTTCAAAATGTTTACAAGGCAATGCTTTGCTCTTGCATCACTAGTGCCTAGAACAGTAAGTGGCACACAGTAGGTGCTTATTATTTGCTGACGGATACTCACTCTTCGTGCTTATCAGTTATGCTTATCTTTATTACGGTTTTCCAACTCTCAAACAAAACCTACTATGATCTGCTTATATTTGAAGAACAGACAAGCATGCATTTAAACCGTTTAACTGTTAAAGACCATTTGGCTTTAAAGACCTCATTTCATATGGAATTTAAAATTCTCATCCTTTATAGTGTAAACCTTAAAATATAGAAATAGGTTCTTACAAATGACCCTGACTCAGAAAAATTTTTAAATGTATATAATTATACAAATTAAGACATCACTTTAAATCTCACAGACTGAACTCCCACTATTTTCTGACCAAAACTTAATAGAATTAAATAACAAAATCCAATGAAAAATACAGCCGTCTCCCAAGACTAGATCTCTCCTATTAGTGCACATTCATCCCTTCAGTGAAGCCTTTCCTAATGCTCCTGGTATACAGTTGCACATTTTCAGTTACTTTTAGTTAAGAACAGTACGTACAGCATTTACTCCACTTTGGTGAAAACAGCCCAAAAAACTAAATTGTACATAAAATAAGGTAGTTTTTCTTTTTAAGCACTAGCATTAAATACCTTTAAATCTCATTTTCGCTTAAAAGAACAGAAGAAAAGCTAACATTTACTGAAGACCTACTATATGTATTTGTACAAAATGAATCAAATTGGATTGTGTCATTGGATCTTAACAATCCTAAGAGGTCAGTATTATTTTATAGCCAAAAAAACACTTGTGTTCCAGGTACATGCTAAAGCTAAGGTTCAAACTGAATTCTTATTTCAAAGCATACACCTCTTATAAACATTTGGCCACTCTTAACAATATTATATTTAGGATAATAATATCTTAAGAGTTAAAATACTATAAAAGAGGCATAGTCATTCTCTCCCATGCAAACTGAAATGATCTGAATCACATATCTGGGGCCCCCTCAAGCTTTTCTGTAACTGTAAATTACCCTCAGAGTAATTTTGACTGATTTGTTTTTTTAATTGTAAATTGCCCACAGAGATAGGATTATTAGTCTCATTTTGAGGCACAAAAATAATGAGTAACTTGGCCTAGGCTATAGGGCCAGTGTGTAAAAGAGGTGGGATTTGAACCCAAGGCTATCTTGACACCAAAATCTGTGCTTTTAACCACTATGCTACACTGTTTCTGCATTAATTTCAGAAACAAAATCCTATTTCCATTAAGATTTTTTAAAATAAGAAACCCATACTATCTATGTACAGGGGCTGGAGAAAAAGCAAATTTCTTCTATACTATGTATTATCCTTGTCATCTGAGCTAATAATTTTTATAAGATTAACAGGAAAATCCAAGTGGAAAAGTCTTGCTTTATTTGGACAGTAGTTCCCCGAAAGAAAGTTTAATTCAGGCATGTCTAATTTTCAAATATAGAAACGCTAAGCTAACTCCAGGGGGCAGAAAACTATCTTTAAATCTTTGACTTCAATTAATTATAGTGGCGGTAATTACTCTTAAAATTCTACCCAAGTCTATGTTTCTACTGTATGAGTTTTTGCAAATGCAACCTTCGCTTTCAAAGCAAACTTCTTCAGGCTGCCCCCAAGTTATCTAATTTTTTTTTTTCATCTATCACTTTAGATGTATTCTACAGTGGCATATAAATCAGACTTTACAAGTAAATCTGAGTTTGTCTGAATTTTAACTTAATTCATTTTCTTTTTACAGATTTTTTTTTATTACAAAAGTAATAAATGAATATACAGATGAGGGAAAAAAGTCTTTTTTCAGGGTCTTAAACACCCAGAGATAATCACTATTCACACACTGTCATTTCTCCTCCCAGTACTGTGTTAACAAAAGGGCATAATGAAATAATTTTTAATCTACTAGCCAGTTCATAGGGAAGAATCTTATAGGGTCCTTTTTAAAAAATTTATTAATTAATTAATTTATTTTTGGCTGAGTTGGGTCTTTGTTGCTGTGCACAGGCTTTCTCTAGTTGTGGCGAGCGGGGGCTACTCTTCGTTGCGGTGCGCGGGCTTCTCATTGCAGTGGCTTCTCTTGTTGCAAAGCACGGGCTCTAGGCGTGTGGGCTTCAGTAGTTGCGGCACGTGGGCTCAGTAGTTGTGGCTCACGGGCTCTAGAGCACAGGCTCAGTAGTTGTGGCGCACGGGCTTAGTTGCTCCGCGGCATGTGGGACCTTCCTGGACCAGGGCTCGAACCCGTGTCCCCTGCATTGGCAGGCGGATTCTTAACCACTGCACCACCAGGGAAGCCCTAGGGTCTCTTCTTAATGACAGACTACCCTGTAATGAAATGATACTCTCACTATCAAAGAATTTACTTTTTTTGGTACTTTTCTGGGTACACATATCCCTTGCTCGTTGCCTATGAAACTACAGTTGTATACCTCAAAACAGGAAGTTACATATAACTGAAAGTTGGGAGGAAAAATATCCTTGTTATTGAACATCTTTTTGAATACACTGTTTAACCCTCCTATCGAGTATATTTTGAGTTAGCATAGGAAATAATTAAACCATTTTTTGATCTTGGAGGATCTTGCAGTGCCTGAAAATCATTCTGAACACCAATGGAAAATGTTAAGATGTGGCTTATATAAAGTAAAGGTGACTCTGCACCAGCTCCAAGACATACCCTGCCAACTGCATACTGAATAATCCTTGTTATTACTGTGTTTCGTTAGGTGCTTCTTTCTCCTAAAAGAAAACACAAAAAAGATTTTAGTTTAGTTCTACTTAACTTTGCTTAAAGTTAAAATATAAACCCTCAGGCTGGATCCAGACGAACATATAAAAATGGTAAATTTGTCTTCCATGACCCAGTCTCCCATTTTCTTTCTCTCCTCTATGAATTGCAACCCGTTCAAGGAATCTTTAATCAACAGGAATGTCACAGTGAACAGATACATGGAGACTCGTCCAGGTAGGCAGGTCAGAAGGATTATTGCACTGGAAGAAGGAGGAAATTATAATAACGAACAACAGTAAAGTCACCATTTTTAAATGCCTCTTGGGTAACGAGCACGAATCCGCATTGCACTGAATCCTCACTAGGAGCCTGCAAGGTAGGTACAAGGAGGCTCAACCTGCCCTGTAAGCAACAGTCTGCAGCTCCAATCCTGCTCAGCCTGGCTTGGGAGCCCAACTTGCCTGCAGGATGCCCTCTGGCCTCATGAAACACCCACTCCAATGGCCAAGGAAGGCAACCTTCCCAACACACCATCCTCTAGCAGGGCAGCAGAAATCAACACCAGCACCAGAGAACACACAACACAAAACACCTTTGCATAGAGGCTTTCCATCTGATAGTAAAAAAGAAACTTTACGAACAAAGAGAACGTGAGAGGATCACTGATATCTAAGTTCACGGCACAGTGAGGGAATACTGACTGACTGAGGCAGCCTTGTAGGCCTTTCCTCAACACTGAAATATCACACAAATAAAGTTCCAAACATTCAAACTACGCCAAGGCACTTTACACAATACACTACACAGGTGAGTTCGTCCAGGAAGGCATTAAACTCAAGCTCACAGGAGCCTGGGGGAAAGGGAGTACAAAGAGGTGAGGGAAAGCAGGAAAGGTAAAAGAAAGAAGGAAAGGTGGATGTGAAACCAAGTTTATTTCTGGGAATGAGGGGATGAAAAGAGATGGAGACACTGCTACCACACAGACGAGGCCGGCAAAGCCATGGGCACAGGCCCACTTCTAGTGAGAAGTGGACCCTGGGATGCTTACCTGGTCCTTCAGCTCCAACTGGGATACAGTAGCTCCTCCCATTACCCATGCCTGCTTCTCTCTTTCCAACAGCCAGTTTCACCCACAGTCTCTCTGGCCAAGCAGTGCGATGGTCCCGCATGGCTGAGGATGGGTTCTGAAGGCCAATGACTGGATCTGAATCCCAGCTCACCAGCCACAAGTCACTGGACCTGAGCAAAACCTGATCTCTCTGTACCATCAGTTTCCTCATTAGAAAATGTCAGTAGCAAGAGCACCTCATAGATTGTGGGGAGGATTAAATGAATTAATAAAGGTAGTGATTAAAATAAAGCCTGGCACAGCGTAAGCATTCAGTAAACACTAGCTACCACCACCACTATCATTGCTATACTGGATGGTAGTCTCCCCTACCCAAGCAGAAATTCTTTTAGTCTCTTCCACTCTACTTCAAGAGACTGGATTTACTGAGCTATCATCTCTCTTCTGTTTTCAGAAATCTTCTACTGCTTAGTTTCCTAAAATGTATTAACTTGGAAATGGGTCCTGATAAAGAAACTAATCTCTAGTTGGGTATCAAAGTCTGATGATTTTTCAATCAACATCCCACAAAAATCTAAGTATTTGCTTTTCAAATGATACTAAGATGACATTCTATCAAGTCTATCCTTTTGAAAAGGACTAAATATTCCTTTATATTTTTCCTATCAAAGTAACATATTCTAATAGAAAATATGGAAAATGCAGAATAGGAAGCAGAGAGAATAAAGAGGCATCCACAGTCCTACCACAAAAGATCAGCACTATTAATATTTTGGTGGTTTTTCTGCAAATGTTTATATACAGCTTCTTTATTTTGTTTTATAAAGGTGTGATCATTCTATATATAACTTTATATCTTGTATTCTGCTTTTTTCACGTGACCTATTATTTTCCTTTTAGTATTTCTGCTTCAATTATGAAAGAAACATCTATGCAGTATAAGAAAAAAATACAATCAGAACATGTATATTGGCAAAAAGAGAGGGAAGTTTTTTTAAATTATCCATCAGTCTATCCTCTGTGATTATCTCTGTTAACATTTTGTACACAGCCTTCCAAATTATTTTCTATGTATAATACATGCCAGACACAAAGGTTTTAATAAAATGGGATCACACACACATAAGTTGGAGGGGGGGGAGCAGTGTAACCATTTCCTAAGTACTTCTCTCCACAAAACAAGTAAAGCACCACATATTAAAAACAGACAAACAAAAAACACCTATAATTTCATCTAGGATGACCTCTCTTCGGGTTTGAGTATACATTTTTTACACCTATGCTTCTTTACAAAGCTAAGATATTGTATATGAAGTCTTATGACTACTTTTTCCTCGACTATAGGATGAACATTTTTGCATGCACTAAGTTCTTCTAAATCACTATTTTTTATTTATTATTTTTAAAAGATGACATCTTTTAAACCAGCAGAAGCACTAAATTAGACCATTCTAAAGCAGTCTTCTTATTCAGCATGTGCTCACACACGCATATAGCTAGGCAAGACCTAAGTGAAACAGGCCATCCAGGAGAGGGTGTTTATAAGATGGAAATCCATGTTTGAGAAACAAGTACTAGTATGTGTTGCAAGAACACACCGATGTTCTCCCAGTTTACTAAAGAGAGCAGAAGCAACTGAGGCGTGCGGGTGTGGCTGGGGAAGAGGAAGGAAGTGTGGGCGGCCCTGCACACATTTTGCAAGCTGCTGAAAACAGTTGTAAAACCAGCCTCTGTTAAACCTGCTGTCAAGTCGGAACTCACCCTGTTATTCTTGTCAAAATTCACTTCTGGCTTTTCACTGACATCTTCACCACTGCAGTGTGGTCCGTATATCAAACAAAGGTCTCCAACTCACACCTCTCCCTAGGAGAGGTGAGGAAGAGCACACTGAGCAAAGGTGGCTCCATGTGGATACTCATTATCAACCAATCCATGGCACGAGAAAGCCGGTCACACAAAAAGGGCCATGTGCAGAAATCAGGCTACGTCTATAGTCTCTCTACACTTCGGGATATTACAAATTCCCCCCCAAACCAGACCACGAATATTCAAATACACAAAAACCTCCCAAACAAATTACATGCTTGAAAAAGAGTATGTGTGCCAATACTCTCCCTCCAATACATACAGCTAAAAGATGAGTTTTTATAAAGCCACGCTAAAACTGTATTTAAGCTTCTTATACATGGAAATTATCTGGTATCTTTTACAAACACCAAAAAAATGAACACTGTTACTCTTACTTAGGGCAAATATCAGACTAAACGTGTGTTTAGAGAAAAGCCAACTTAAGTGAAGGAACTAACACACTCTCCATGAAAATTACCGCCCTGATCTAACTGCTAAAATTTCAAAGATACCTATAACAAAAATGGTATAGGCTGGAAAGAAGACAGTAGACTCAATCCTCCAGGAATATCAACAACCTCCAGATCAAGCTTATTTTTAAACACAACACCAGTGGCAGTCAGCACTGCTGTTCCTTTCATCCAAAGTAAACAACATTCCACATTTCTAGAACAGCACTCCTCCTCCTGGGTGTTAACAATATAAGCTATAAATCAAAGATGAAGAAACCAGGGAATTCCCTGGCAGTCCAGTGGTTAGGACTCTGTGCTTCCACTGCGGGGGGCGCAGGTTCGATCCTTGGTCAGGGAAGTAAGAACCCACATGCAGCGGGGCACAGCCAAAAAAGAAATTAAAAAAAAAAAAAGAAGAAGAAACCACAAACAGGTCAACACGTCCCAAGTTACGAAGAATCCACAGTTGTTCACTGGATTGGCTGAATATTACTATGTGGGTATCAGGTAGTATCAGTCTGTAGCCACTGAATGGAATCAAGATGGAAACTACAAATTAGAAGATTTCAGTCAACCATTTATTGAGAAATGTCCCAATAGACAAAAATGCACCTCCAAATGTCTAATAAAGTATTTTTCAAGGGAAGGTAACTGCCTATTGAAGGAATGCCAGGCTGAAAAGCCTGCTCCAGTCTCTTGAGGCAGTGACTGGGTTGCCAACACAAATCTATCACTTAAAGTGCTGGTTTGAGTAATCTTTATTTCCTCTAAGTAAACAAGCTATATTCCAGGACACATGAAGGAATTTTTGAATGAATTCAGAAGTCAGGCAACCCATTAACTGATGGAAAGCAGCACTTAGTACTTGTAGAAAGGGGTTAACATCCAAGCCACAAAACCTGGAGCAGCAGCACAAATAATAAGTCCAAATTCCTAAACAGAATTGCCTCTCATTAAAGTGATGAAAAATGTTAATAAGCGGGCTTCCCTGCTGGCGCAGTGGTTGAGAGTCTGCCTGCCGATGCAGGGGACACGGGTTCGTGCCCTGGTCCGGGAAGATCCCACGTGCCTCGGAGCGGCTGGGCCCGTGAGCCATGGCCGCTGAGCCTGCGCGTCCGGAGCCTGTGTGTGCTCCGCAACGGGAGAGGCCACAACAGTGAGAGGCCCACGTACCGCAAAAAAAAAAAAAAAAAGTTAATAAGCATGTCACCATTTCTACCTGATGGTAAAGTGAGATTTAAAAAATTAGTATGGTGACAGCCCTGGTATAAAGTGCCCACATAATAAAAAATGACCTAAGCACAAGCTGGTATGTAGAAATTACTCCAAAATAAATAAAGTCAACCCACAGTTACTCCTTTGCCAGGAAAACAGAATATAAGTTGGAAGTTATGGAGAATTTAAAAACTTAATAATCTAAATCTCTCTTCCAAAGCTTTTATTAATACTGTCAAAACTCATTTTAACTCCCTATTGTCTTTCCATCCCCTGCACTGATATTGTGACAAAGATGGTCATGAAAAAGTGGTCCAAAAAAAGTGCTGGAAAAGAAGAAAAATAAATTGATCCATTAACAAAAATACTGGCACCTAACGTTTCACTGACTTTGACTTAAAAGGCAGAATCATCTGGGGATTCT